TTTACAGTGCCCCAGTGTCTATTCCTTTGCTTTTTTTCTCCTTCCTATTTACTGTGGTTGTTCTCATCTGTTCTCGTGGCTCTCTCCTAAACTCTGGCCTCTTCCCTAAAGTCCAGACTATACATTTAAGTGAATATTTAGCAGACATCTCACTAGAGAACTCCCTTCTGGTATCCATTCTCAAAAAATAGCATATTCCTTCTTGCAATTATTCAGGCTCAAATCATTAAGATTATCTTGACTTTTTCCCTTCCTTTTTCATTATACATCTGCTCTCTCTGAGCATCCTATTCTCTCTACCTTCAAAATATATTTAGACTCTCAGCACCTGTCCCACCCCCTTCCACTCCTGTCACCCTGGTGTTGGCGACCGTCATGTCTCATCTTAATTATCAAACTTGCCTCTTCTCTGCTTCTACCCTTGCTCTCCATGGTCTACTCTCTAAGTAGGTGCCAGAGTAATACCACTAAAAGATGTGAGTCTATTTAGAGAGATAATGCCACTCTGTTACTCAAAACCCTCCAACATTCCCTAAGCCACCCAGAAGAAAGCCAGCATCTTTACAACGAACGGCCTGCAAGCCCTCCACGGTCACTGATATCATACACTATTTCCCGCCAAGATTCACTTGGCTCCTCATATTCACACTGGCTTGCTGCTCCCTTTGCACATATTGTTGCATAGCACAATCTTCCCTTAGACATGACCCATTCCCTCCTCTCCTTCAGGTCCTCACTCAGCATCATCTCAGAGAAGACTCCTCTAGCCACTCTCTCTCATTAATTGAAACCCTTCTCTTGATGTTTCCTATTCCCATTTCTTTCCTATTTTATTTTTATTCTTAGGTATTATCACAAGTTGATAGGTTGCACATTTTATTCTTTATCTTATTCATTGTTTTGTCTTCCCCAATAGAATGTAAGTTCTTTAGGGGTCAAGTTTTCTAATATTTTTTCTCTGCTTTACCCTCAAGCATCTATCTAGAATAGTGTCTGACACATAATAGCACTTAGGAAATATTTGTAGAATGAACAAATAAAATATTAGCTTTTAAAAAAATAGCCACAAGTACAATGTTGAGATGCAAACAAATAGTGTAAGGTAAGACAGTTTATACCTACATGATTACAAGTTTATAGTACATGACATAGTGGATTTGTTTCTGAAAATGTTTCAAAAGGTGAATGTTTATAACTCAAAATATTTGAAGTAATCTAGCAACATTTTTATTTCAAAGAATCCATGATTGATCCTCTGTATAAAACAAAGGACTTTAAAATAATTTCCTGCTAATATAGCTCTTATAAGTTAAACATTTTATTGGTCAAGTTTTCTTATTTCAAAATGTGCTAATGTGTGATGTGTAAAAACAGATAGCCTTACACCAGCCTCTTTTAATTATAAAATAAATGAGCAAAAAATCGCCCTGGCTGGTGTGGCTCAGTGGATTGAGTGCCAGCCTGTGAACCAAAGGGTAGGCCATTCAATTCCCAGTCTAGAGCACATGCCTGGGTTGCCTACCAGGTCCCCAGTAGGGGACGTGTGAGAGGCAACCACACATTGATGTTTCTCTCCTCTTTCGCCCTCCCTTCCCCTATCTAAAAATAAATAAATAAAATCTTTTTTAAAATTAGCAAAAAACGTAATGGAGACTCTGACAGATGTTGGAGAGACACATAAGCTAAACGTACACAGTTCTATTCTCCCAATATCCTCTCACCCACATCCACAAAAACCAGTGAAAACTATACATATTTTGGAAAACTAACGTATTTTCCAAAGTCCCTCTAGGGGGCAGTATTGTCCTCATTGAGAACCACTACTCCCTGGATGTAGTTGGACTGTGATACAGATCCTCCCCACCCTCTTCTGTTTTGGACCTGAGCTACCCAAATGATACCATGAGGAAGAGGTCAAATGCAAATATCTTCTACTTAATGGGGGTATGTTTTTCTCCAGGGTTAGCAGTAACTGATACCTTAACTTGTGGGTCTGTAAGTCTTCAGTCTTCCTCTCATATTCTGGTGAAGAAGGGGTTGGGATGTTTGGAATTAGGGCCTGAAATCTGATCTAGCTCCACTTAGGACTTCCATGGAGAGATGGCCCAACCTGAAAGCATAGAATATGAACTGCCAGGTAGTGGGGTAGGAATGGGGGTTGGGGAGGTTAGTGAACTCTGCTCTTCTTTTTTATATGTAATTGTGGAGTATGAAAAGATAAATTTCTTTTACACTAATTTGAAGAAGGGTATGAGAGAAGTGCGCTGGAGTAGAAAACACCCCAGGCCAGAAAAACAAATATCTATGTTATAGCACCAGCTCTATCTCTACCCATTGTGTGATTTTGGATATTTTAATTCTCTAGACAACCTTTGTTTCATCTGGAAAATGGGGTAGAGAGTAAATTAGAAGATATTATATCTGAATCATTTAAGCTTTTGAACTTGATACAACTCTGAGCATTTGGACTCTCCATACAGACAATACACCCTCCCTTCTCTGTGTGTCCTTGAAGAAGGTGAAAATTTTGATCCTCACTCTTTAAATTTTTTCATATAAGATCTGTGGCATTGAATTTGGTAAGCATTCTTGAATCTAAGATTCAAGTGTGTTTTACTTAAAATATTATTAAACATGGCGAAGTCACTGCATTTTAGAGTTAAGAAATTGTTTGTAAAAATTCTTCATAAAATGAAGTTAGATAGCTTGCACTTTTTTCCATGACTAGGTGAATATCTGATATTGCAAGTGACTTTTCAACACTTCACGATTCTCTTCTGTATACCACACACTATACAGAACAACAGACACTTATAAGGACATAAAAGTTAAGACAGACGTGCAAGCTCCTCTAAAGGTCCTTACAATCCATAGTGTCTTCAGTTTTTTTAGAAGAAGAGCCAAGCCGGATCCTTGACCAAGTGATTCACTGAGGGTGAGCTCTCAGGAGAAACATCTGAAGGGAGGAGGAAAGCAGGGCGAAGCAGGGGAAGTTAGGCACAGGAGTGGTTTCAGAAGCCTAGCTTCATCCTGAACCTATGGGGACCTCTGGAAGGTCCCAAATTACACCAAGGGTTATCAGTTGTGGGGCAAGTGGCATTGGCTATCAGGACCCCACTTCAGCCAGCCATTTGCTACAGGGCACCTACAGGGGCCAGTTGGGGAGTTCATCCCCCAGGTATCTGGTTGAAACAGTTCCCATCAGCCAACCTATGTAGAATGTTTGCCCTTGGCAGTCAAAACCCACAGCTGCTGGGAGGGTGAGTACCCTGAAAAGGAGAATCTGGGTAGGGCACCAAGACTTTCTACTACATATGGTATTAAAGGAGCTAAATCATATTTTTATGATATCCTTTTAGAGCACTTATAAAGCCACCTATCTGTAAGTGACATGTAGGGCAGCACAGTGTGAATGTCTACAGGTGCAGTGAGCAACCCAGTCGAAGTGTACTGATACTTGCTCCATGCTACACACTGTTAGGCAACCTTTATTTCTGTCAAGAAATCTACCGTGTAGGTAGTATTATTGCTTCTACTTTTTGGTAAGCAAAGGCACAGAGGGGTTAAGTAACTTGGTTGGGGCCTCACAGTCAGCAAATGCCAGTGAATGATCATTTCATTGGCAATAATACAGTATGGCTTCTGTGGAACAGAGAAAATGAAATTCTAAGCTCTTCTTCAAATCAAAGGTTTAATGTGGGCTTACATTTTAACAAGTTCCTGATCTGATTCTTATACTGAAGTGTCAGAGCCATTGTCAAGTGAAATAAGTTTTCCAAGTTGGAGAAAATTTCCATACATGATAATATCAACAGGTAAAAGTCAGCAGAAATAAATGTGCTTGTGAATTTTGTAGGTAGTTTGAAGGGAGTGAGAAAGAATATCAGAATAAAATTGAGAATGGGCTCCCAGATACCAAACAATAATTACACAGGAAGAAATAACCTTCTTGTCATCACCTTGTTTCTTTAAAAATAAAAAGAACAAAATAGTAAAAATAAAAGGAACAGGGAACACTGGCTTTGGATACCCACAGGGTGTTCTTTTATACTTCTGTGCTGCACTCGGTAGGCATTTATCCCTAAAAATACGCTAAACTACCTCTTTCCCAGAGCAGAACAGGACATTATACAATTGGGAAGGGAAATATTTCCTCAAAGGTTTTGAAAATAAAAACACTGTATAAATACAAGGAAATAAGTTAATTACTGATAGAGTGTTTTTATGTAGATGTACAAGTTGTCCTCTGAAATAGCATATGCCCCAACTATGACTACTTCCATAAAATTGTTGTTATAACAATTGGACCACAGAGTCAAAAGAGAAAAAAGTAGAGATTATCAGCACGATGTCACCTGGCTATAATGAACTATTTTCCAGGTAATTTCATGTGGGTACGACCAAGCTCCTGTGCCATTTTTCCCATTGCTGAGAGTGCAGAAGAAAGAATCTATTCTTTTATGATGATATTGGTAGATCAAACTCACTAGATCCCCATTATTCTGCTATGTTAGCTCCTCCAATTCAGTGTGCCAGTTACATACAAATTTTAGGTGTTGTTTGGAGAAACACTTTGAAGTAATATGAAAATTATTTTTATTAACTAAATAGCTTATTTGCTTTATTTCCATTTCATGGATGCATATTTCAACCCAACATTTATAAAGAATTTATAATGACACTTTTCCTTGGTTCTCTGTTAATACCAGATTAAATACTCCAGCGATTTAGAGGATTAATGGGCAGTCCTCAGAATGACCTTAAACTAACTTAAATGGCATAAATCATATGGTGGAGGACTTTAGAGCTGGAGATGAAGGTTGGAAATCCAAATTTTTATACCATGGGGGAAAAAAAACGAGGGAAAAAAAGGAGGAGCTTTGTGTGTTTAAGATTACCTGCTGACTACACTGACCTCCTCGCTCAACCTACTAGCAGGTGTTTAGAGTCTCCTGCTTGGTTTAATCATATTAGTGAAGATCATAAAGAAGCTTTAAAATCTCAAGGCTAGTGCTCAGTGCTAGAATTGTTTGGAGAGCATTCAGGAGAAACCAATTGTCATAGGAGGTTAAAACAAACACACAAAGAAAGAAATAGTTCACTCAGTAAGTTAAGAGCCAAGGGAAGGGTTGGCTAACACTGACTTGAAGCAAGCCCAGCAATCCAGGTGTATGAACTCACTTTCTACCTTTTAGCAGGCAGAAGATGCCGGTGATCAACATTGAGGATCTGACAGAGAAGGACAAATTGAAGATGGAAGTTGATCAGCTCAAGAAAGAAGTGACACTGGAGAGAATGCTGGTAAACCTGTTTTCTTTTGCATTCTTTTTGTAACTAGAGATGCTGTCGGATTTACCAGATTAGAGACCATTGAACGGGTGCAGAATTTGCTGCCCCCAAATATGCTTTTCTGGCATAAGGATTATTTTAGTCTAATGACTTTTAAGAAACAGCCAGGAAAGACTCTGAAAACCTGAAAGATTTGCCCTTTTGTAAGAAATTTTTTTTACATGTGTAAGGGAAACCTCCATTTGTGAGGGTGTCTCCCTCCCTGTTCCAGTAAAAGAAGGATGACCAAATCTCTGGAAAACTATTATCAAGGGAGAAGGCGAAGACGTGGATCTGCTTCACAGCCTTGCGCTTGCTCACTGTGCTTTGCCTGGGAACGTCTCACAAACTGCCCACAGCCCCACTCCCCCGGCCCATCTGTCCTTTGCCTTTAGCTGGACATGGTATCTAAGGAGGTGTCTTGGTCCATTTTGGGGAGTTCCTCAGTTTTCCTAGGTGTCTCCTATGTATACAGAAGGTATACATGTGATTAAACTTTAGTTTGTTCTGTTTTTTCCCTCTGCTGATCTGCTTTTTTATTGCGAGGGGTTTTATTGCAAGCCAAGAACCTACAAAGGCAGAAGAAAAATTATTTTTCCTGCACCACACCATTCACTGGAGAGGCTCAATATAGTTAAAAATAAAGTGTGCAAGTCAAAGCTTAACAGAGATTAAGAAAGTAATCACAATTACCTTTTGATTTAGATTCTAGGTGAAAGAATTGGCAAATTATTTTCCATGGGTTAAATACAGCCATTGCCTGTTTTTGTGCAGTCACTAAGCTAAAAGTGTTTTTATATTTTAGAGTTGTTAAAAAGGAAAATTCAAAAATGATAAGGATATGAGACAGAGGCCACATTTTAGCTAAGCAATAAAATAAAGCAATGCGTACTGGCCTTTTGTTTTTATCTTTCTAAACTGATAAGGTGCTCTTTATTTGATGCAATACTTTGATGTTGTTTAAATACTTTCAGTCAAGACCTCATCCCTTCTAGCACTGTCATGGCCAGTAATAAATGAGTACACGCTATTCCTTCTCTGGAAATACAAGTTAGTTCAAGCACAAGAACTCAAGTTCCTCCCAAAAATATCTGACAGGTCTTGGAACTGGTTACCAAGCGTTCCCTGACATTAAAGGACATAAATGGCAAAGGTATAAAAGTTTCACCAAAGAAGCAGTGACTAAAGCTTGGAAAATGTAGAGATTTTAGATTTGTATGTTTTAGGAAAGTTAGTAGAAATGATAAATGATAAAAGTATGTGCTCCTTCACAAATGATAAAAGTATATGTTATATGTTGTTTAAAAACTCATTTTATCAGGACAAAGTGAAAAAAGAAGTGTACTATCTTCGTACTTAGCTTAAAACTCTTATTCCCAATAAAAATAGGAATTTTGGCTTCTTTGATGTTTAAAATTGTCTCAAACTTTTCTGTTGCTCTTCCCACATAGGCAAAACATATTTGGCTATAAAGATAAAATTAAATCTATAAACAGAAGAAAAGCTTGGAACACATACCAAAAAAGTTCAAATCTTTATCTTTATAATTTGGGGAATTTAAAATATAATTTGGTGATAAAGAAGAGTTATTTTTTTTCTTTAGTTGAAGCACACAATGGCCATTTATTATTTATATGCTCAGGATTGTGATTTTGTAAGCAATTTGGCTGTCTTCATGTTTATTATTCACTTGGTGCATGTTCACCTGGGAATTTTCACTTTGAGTAAACATTATGTGCATCATTCTCTGTTAGGTTTTGGGTTCCTTTTCCTGTTATTCAGTGTCTCCTAGCTCTTAGCAGTCAAACTAATTTAATCTCAGACTCACAAACCGCACACAGACACACACACCACACAGCTTCGAGGTTCTGAACCTACAGCTCTGACACATAGGATGGCTTAGTGGCATTACAATCTGGCTCAGCGGGTGGGCTCTGGAACCTCTCTCTGGTTCAGACAGACTCCACAGCTTTCTCCCTGTGTAACCACACTCACTGAAGTTGTCTAACTTACCACTGTCTCTGTTTCTTCTTCTGTAAAATGGGCAGAGGGTAATAATATCTAATGCAGAGGGTAATGGGGAGGAATAAATGGGATAGTACCATGTGACTGCACATCTTTGTACTCCAGGCCCTTAATGCAGCCAGTGTCACTCTTGCTAGTTCATAGATGAAGTAGCCAAACCTAGACTAAGATGTACTCACAGAGCTGGTCAGTGGGCAGGGCTGAAATTCAAACCTGCAGTGGCTGAATCCAGTGTCAGTGCTTTTCACCAGACCACGTACTCCTGAATTAAACCATATATACTTATAAGAAGCCTCACTGAGGTCACTTTAAACACATGCACTCACATAGGACCTTAGGTGATTTATTGCTCTTTGTGTCCTGAGATCCTAGCCAGACACTGTCAACCTCCTGAATTAGGACAGCAATGTAAACCTCTGTCCCTGACGTCTGGTTGGGGCCAAAAGAGCCGGTGTTTGGAGGAGGGGAAAAAAGGTGAATTTAAATCTCAATTTGGAATTTCGGGGAAGAAAAAGAGTGAATCCAAATGACTGTATGTTTTAAAAGTGTTTACGAACTCCATGTTTTATCCTATGAAGGAGCCACCTCATCAGTGCCTTGCTCCAGTTAGAAGTGATTTGTTCTAATATGAGTAATGTTTGCAGAGTTGTAATCTTAAGTCTTATGTCTAATGTTGCTTGGAATTTGCATACAATACTATCATAAAGATTTTATTAAAAACAAAACAATAAATTGGCTAGATAGCTAACAGAATGGTTGCTTCATGGGCTGCCAAAAATGAAGGTTTTTTGTGTGTTAATGTCATGAATGATGCATTAAGTGAACACAAAACAAGGTGAAAGTGAAAAAAATGAATACTTTGTTCCCATATGCATCTATCAATGTAGACTCACATACATATTTACATATGTATAGAACACTGCCTCTCTGAAAGGTGTGTTAAATGGTACATTAGCAGGCTCTGGCTGAGTCCATTAAAATACTAAAGCCTGACTCTTTGTGAATTAATGCTATAATGGTGAAGATGAGTGAGGAGCAAGTCCATAAACAAAACAAATGATTCAGTTCAGCAAATATTTCCTTGCTGAGCACCAACTAAATGCAGGCTCTTTTCTACATGCCTGGGGTACATGCGAACAAAGCAGCCATATTCCCTGACCTTTTGGAATTCATCTTCAAGTGCACTGTCATGATCAATCATGGTAGATGAATTTAAAATGAAATTATATGTGAACACTTCTGAGATTCCAGGAGTGGTGATAAGCCTGGAATTTAACGACGATTCATTCCCTCCCACCTTTACAGGCCGCATGTTTGGAATGAGGAAACGTGTAATTAATGTTCCCTCCAGTGACATCCTTGACTTGTGTTGCCAGCCATGTTCTGATCCCTGGATCCTGTCTCCTTTTAAGAATCTGGAGGCAGTGTCGGCTGGGAACCCTTAGCTGGAGTGTGGCCAACGCTTTCTCCTTTGCCTGGAGATGTCCAGGAGGACAGGAGGGAGAAGCCATTTCCTCTTGTCTTCTGAAAAGTACATATGCATGGGCAGAGAGCAGAATCACATTAAAAAGATGGAACACAGCAAGTTATTATAATAAATGCGTTCTCGGAATCTGCAGCGTTGTGTGTTAAACCAAGTGAGTCATCTCTCTCTCCTTTCCTTTAAGGTATCCAAATGTTGCGAAGAAGTGAGGGATTATGTGGAAGAGAGATCCGGGGAGGATCCACTAGTAAAGGGTGTCCCAGAGGACAAAAATCCCTTCAAGGAGCTGAAAGGAGGCTGTGTGATTTCCTAAAAATAAAATGTAAAAAATCTTTGGCATATCTTAAGCTTTAATGGCAATATTAATTTTTGGCCATGTATAATAATATTATTAAGCATTTACATGAATTTTTAAATTTCTAAATATAAACTTTTAATAAAAATTGAGATGTGATGATATTAAGTCTATGTTTTCTTAACATTAATTTAGTATAAGGTTTAATACATAATTGACCATAAGTATTGATTGAGCCCTTTCTTTAACAGTCATTACTCTGTTTTGTGAATGAATCTGTGTTACACTGGTTGCCAACAGGTAGTTAATGTTTTATGTTTCTTCCCTTCCCTTCCAACGCTCCTAATGTTCTACCTGGACATTTCATGGTTAGACTTACATTTTCCTGACCCTTCTCTTGCTTGCCAAATTAGGAAGGCTATTCTTTTGATTCATGGAAGGCTTATCTTTGCAGAATGTGTGTTCTGGAGATTTTTGTTGTTTTGTTTTTGGTTTCCCTTTCTCTCTCAACCCCCAGGCAGCAGTGGTGGTTTTAACAATACCTCTTCCTACATCCTCACAGTTCTAGTTGTCACTGGTGATGTCCCTTTTTCCCAGAATGCCAGCTGGCTTGAGGCTTCAGCCTGGGTCACAGAGCACAGTGGACTTAACCAGCACCAGAAAAAATATTAGGAGAAGCCAGGGAGTTCTGGCTCTGGCACTTGACTGCCTACCTGACTTTAGATACATTACTTAATTTTTCTGAATCTCAGTTTCTTCTACTGTAGGATAGGATAATAATGGTGCTATCCCCTTTTTCATGGGGATTAACTATTATACTAGGGTCACTATAGCACTTAGCATATTGCCTGGCACATAGTAACACCCAATAATTAATATTATTACTGGGAAAGGAACTAGACGAAATGTCCAGAATCCTTTAATAAGGTAAATGCTATTCCATCCGTCCTGTTTCTGTAGCAGTGTAAAGGCAAGATGATGGAAAAATAACTATCATCTGCATCGTCCTGGTGATCGGTTTCCTCCCAGTTTCCTCCTGGCATCCCATTGAGTTTGCCTAAGCCAGATTTCACTCCCTTCGTGCTGACAACTAACACCTCTGTTTCCATAACAAATGACAAGTGTTAATGACCCCAGTAGGTAAACTGTTTTTGTTGTTAGTGTTTCCTTCTTGCTCTCTCACATTTACAGTGCTATTTTTAGTGCTGATCTGCGATCAGAAATGCTGATTGATTGTCATCCTCTTAAAAAGATAAGAATGATCTATTATTTGGTCTAGAAGGGAATCTAAAGGTCTGTTGTCCCAAGTTTGGCTCCTAGCACAGTGTCCGCCCACTTTGGCCACAGTAAATACTCAACAAAGATTTATTGACTCTTGTCCATTGCCTTCATTTTGGAATGGAGAAAATCAAGGCTCAGAGGAGTGAACTGGTGAATTTTTTAGGTTTAGATTTTAGACCTCTGGCTGAACGGTTAGCAACACACTCTACTATACATCAAAGATGCGTTGGGTATTAAGGATTTCCAGAATATGCTACTGGAGTCTCATCTCTTTTTCTTTAAGAAAAGCTCTTTATCCCCTTGTTTAAAACTACAAAAGCCCTCTCCAGCCACCCTCCAGCACTTGCTATTCCCACTTTATTTTCCTCCATTGTACCCATTGCCATCTAGTATACTGTATGTTTTATTTGTTTAATTGGGGTCTGTCTATAGGGAGTTTGCATGTGCAATTCATTGGTTATTAAGCGTTCCACATCTTATTTTCCTGATTAAAAAAAATACAAAGTCTTACCTATGGAATTTAGTAACATATACCACCTCTAGCTTTCCTTTTGGATCCAGACAACTCTAAAGTAAAACCCTGGCTCACCGTCTTTTTAGATGAAGGCTTTGGACAAGTAACTGCAACTGTTTGAACCTCAGTAATTTTTCTATGTATGAAATGGGGTGGGGTTTAGGATGGATTGTTACCTGAATATTTAAAATCATGATCAACAATGAGCATATAGAAGACCACTTAATAAGTGCCCTCTATTATTATGAACCACCCTGTAGACTTCCTTTAGTCAACAAACTTAAATATGAAATAATCCCTTACATTACGTCTCATGTTCCCATCTTCCAGAGTTCAGCCATACTAATCTTGCCACCTGAAATGTTCCTCCACTCCATCTCATTTCAGCCTTTTGAAATCCTATTTTTCTTCTGAGGCTTAATAAAAACTATCTCCTCTGTCCCTTAACTTCATCCCAAGAGTACAGTATATCTCTTAAGTCGTTTAACACTAATACACTATCTCTTTTTATAATATGTATGGCTGTCTTCATTTCAATAATATATTATAAATTCTCAAGACAGAAGTTCTGTTCATCTTTGAAACTGTGGTACCAACTAATAAATTGTCTCTATAATCTAATTGACTTAATGTGTGTGATTCAATTAAAAGGAGGCAAACAGTACTTTTTATACTGCATAATGCAGAATTCTTACTGGCTTATTAATGAAATCAAGAGTAGGGTAAAATTCCTGCTGCTTCAAAATACAGATTAGCAGCAGGATTTTGAATAAGATAAAAATTGTAGGAAGGAAGCATAGATAAAGATGGCCCAGGAAGAAGGAAATGAAATCATGACTATCCCATAGCCTCCCATAGCTGCAAGTGGCAGTGAATGCCTCTTTTCCCCTCACAGAAGTTGTTATTTCAGGGACTGGATTGCTGGAATGAAGTAAAACTACAGGGAAACAAAAAATACTCCAGGCATAGCCTTAGCATTTGGCTGTTTAACAAAATCTCCTGATATCAATACTAAGAATAAGTAAAGTATACATACTTACTATATCACTTGAGATGTTTGTACTTTCAGGGTGTTTTGTACACATAGGTGAGTTTCAGTTTTAGTAAGAAAAACTCAGTTGTCTTCATTTGGATTGATTGAAGTTAGCAACATTTCAAAACAAGGCTAATGTCAAACTTCCCAAATTCCCAAAAGAATGTGTTAACATGAGGGAAACAATAAACTGAGTAATGAGACTGAACAATTACATGCAATGAAAATTAAAGTCTTGTATGAACATATTGATAAAAGAAATCATTTTGATATCATTAATTATTAGTTTTTAAGGTAACTGGTGCATCAGAAACTGGTCATCCTGTGACTTCCCATTATCTCCATTAGAAAGGAAAATTATGCACCTGGTCACGTGAAACGAGTCAGTCCATGAACATTCCCATGTGATAGTTATAATAAATTGAATCAAATAGCAAATGGACCAAGAGGGCACAAAATGTGTGATCTACACTTTCTGTAAAGAAATCATCATTGTAATGGCCCAAACAATCACCATTTACTTTATAAATTTTACAGGAGCATAATTTGGGAGGTAGCCTAATTTATTCACACTACCAAAAACAGAGACAGAGAGAATGTATGTCCTGAAAGAATCACAAGATAAAATAAGAACCGTGGTCTTTTTGGTTCAAGTTAGTATAAGATCAACTTCAACATAATTGGCCTCAAATTTTTCTTATAGTTTTCTTTTTATGGATTTTTAATAACACACTACATCAGAAAAATTATTTTCCCTTTTATTGCATTCCATGGTAAACATTTCATGGTCTTTGCTCTTTTATACTTTAAAAATGGAAATAACCACATTGTTAACATTATTTTTATTAAGCATATTTCTTCATTTTTAGTTTTTTTATGTAACCAATGACTTTGAAAATTTTTCAGTTACAGTCGACATACACATTATATTAGTTTCAGGTGTACAACATAGTGAGTAGATAATATAACTTAGGAAGAAATCACCTCGTTAAGTCTAGAACCCATCTGACACCATGCATAAATATTACAATTTTACTAAGTATATTCCCTATACTGTTCTTTACATCCCCATGACTGTTTTATAACTGAAAATTTCTTTAAAACATTTGTTGAAAGATGGTGGAATAATAAAAGTTCATTCTAATTACACCTGTCGTTTTCACTGCAGAGTGGTTTCTGCACATATTATTTTGCTTACTTTTATTAGGGCTAATATACAGAACATATGGAAAATGCTAAAAGTACATTTGAATACAACTGATATGGATTTTTAAATTTGTTTATCCAAAAAATTGCTTATAAAATATTTCTGCAAGAATACACAAGAAATTGCTCACCATCGTTGCTCTCTGGGAGGTCAATTCCGTGCTTGGGAATAGGGGACTCGTGTGTGTGTGTGTGTGTGTGTGTGAGCATTTTCATCCCTTTACCATTCAAAACCAAAGAACAAATCATTTTTTCAGAATTCTATGTGATCATGGGATTCAGAATTTCCCAATTTATCTGAGCTCAATTCATTTACTTAAGTATGATATTAGCATGTGAATTATTTGATACGAACAAAATCTCAAAAAAGTAGACATGTGTATTTTATGTCTAATTTAAGTCTTGTGACACAAGGGAAGCAGTTAAAGAACCATTATGGATTTATAAATATTTTTCACTGCTTGCAACTAGAGATTTCACAGGAAAGAAATTTCCAGATCAAAATAGTGCCGTTTGTATGATTTGGAACAGATATACTCACATTAATTTATTTAACCAAGTTATTTAATTTGGATGCTGAACTCCTTTAATTTAGGCCACAGTAACTACTTTCACTAGTTCAATTAAGCTATTTTTAACCAACCTTTTAAATTTAAGCAATGGGAAATTTAAAAAAAATGCATTCTGAAAACATGTGAGTTTTGTCTTGGCTCACTGCTTACTAACAGGGAAAACTCCAGCAGCTGATCTATCAGACTTCTTTGAGTCCGGAAGATCCTGGAAGATGTGGTATTTTTAATACAGAAAAAGAACCTCCTAACATTTTTCTTTGTGAAAGTGATTTATCAGATGTAGGTATATAAATACAATTAGAAACAAAATATACCTTAGCTAATTCACCCCTCCCCTGTCCCATCACATATTTTACAAATTAGAAAACCAAAATCCAGAAAACAATAAGCAACTTTTCCAATGATGGGCAGTGTCAGAGCTAGGACTAGAACCCGGGAGTACTCAGCAAACAGAGCATTGTTTTTTGAACGAACAAAATCTCTGCTTACAAATGGGGAGTGGTTATGGATGTCTAAGGCTAACTACCCTGCAATAGTCATTACTGCCTCCACCCTTAACTTGAACTTGACCCTATAAATGGTAGGTAATCCCTGGAGAGAAAAAAGAAATACCTGACTGCCTGGGAAGGTATCTCACATTCATGCTTTATTTTTCTTCTAATCTTGTAAGTATCACTAACAAGGTTTTAGTTTATAGTCCAAGGGAAAGTTTATACTGCACGCAAACATTTTTCACATTAGACACTTTTCTTGGCCTTGCAAAGTGGCAGCTAGATGAATGCTGCTTTCTAGAAAGTGGAGAAACCAATACTACATGAATCAGGAATTAAAATTCTTGGTGTCAAGTGTCACCCAAACGTTGGCAGATGGGGAGTGGAGAACATTTTGTAGGGGAGTGAAGAACATTTTGTGGGGGAGAACGTAAAGATTCCTGCTCTCTCTTCCCTGGCATCATCCTCGTATCCTCCAATCATTACGAAACACTCCCCTGAAGGAAGAGTAGAACCTCTGCTGTTGGGGAACCCGACGATAATTTAACGTCAGGAAAGGCCCCTGCAAGTTGTAAGTAGTATTCCTAAGTTCCCAGACATTCAACATACTGGTTGGCTAGACATCTGCAGATGTGGAGAGTGTTTCTGAGATCACAGCTGTTTCATGCTCCATCTGGAACTTCTCTTAAGCGTCCACAGTTCCCACAATAAATGTGTATGTAAATGGGGGAAAGTTACATGCTGTATATTTTTGAAACTCTTGAAGAAGTGACGGGCCGTTATTTCCTGCTGGGTAGTGTCCTCATTTTCTTTCTTCATAAACAAAACCCGGATATGACTTGGAAAAGGAAAAAAAGGGGGGGTGCGAAAAGCCAAACTTTTGATAATTCTCCAGGGAAGTAGGCTAGCGCAATTCCCAACTCTTGGTCCCCAGCCCAGGCAGGTCCCCCGCGGGCGTGGCCGGGTGGGGAGCCGGGGCTGGGGCCAACATCCCCTCGGGAGATCCGGCAGCGCTTTTCAGGGTCCTAGGACTGAACTCTCCCCGGGATGCCTGGGACAGGCCTCCCGGAGTTGTGCAGGCTAGAGGCAGGTCAGGAGCTTTAAGATCCCAGGACGCTGGGCAGGGCTGGCGTAAGGGGAAGGTCCAGAGGCAGCGGAGCGCTCAGGCCGCTGGGGACCCCGGCGTGGGGAGGCGGTCCCATCCTGCGCCCGCGGGCGGGGTGCGCAGGCACAGCAGTTATTTTGGGACTCGCCCTGGTCTGCCGCATTTCCAGCCACTCCACTTCCAGAGCTGTCCCTGGGCCCAGGTCTGGGGCGAAGATGCCGGCCCTGCACATCGAAGATTTGCCAGAAAAGGAAAAGCTGAAGATGGAAGTTGAGCAACTTCGCAAAGAAGTGAAGTTGCAGAGACAACAGGTAAGTTGGCTATCCCAGAATATTTCCTTCTCTGAAATAAACCAGTGTCAGCTTTCCCTGGTTTGTTGCAGTAAAACAAGTCGTTGTTGTTGCTTTGCTTTGTTTTTGCCGCTTTTCTTAAAGTAGCGCTTTGGTGGTGCCTGGGAACTGCCAGTTGATACGGGAAATCATAGGAGGTGAAGGAGAGAGAGGTCTGATGAGTAATTTCAAGCCAAATGTCAGAACGTCTGAAGAGCCCAGACCAGGGGAAACAGACGAGAAATTTGCCTGTTCTGACACACTTGGTGTTAAAAACTCCAGCTGTAGGAAAAAGGCAGATGGCTACTTAGTTCCTTCATCTTTTTCATTGTGGAAAGAAACACTTTTTAAAATCACAAATTAAAGTCTTTTTTAAATTTATTTTCATTGTTGTTCACGTACAGTTGTCTCCATTCTCCTGCCACCACTTCCCCAACCCCACCCACCCCCACCTCCCACCCTCAACCCTACCATTTAGTCTTGAATTGTAATAAACCTAGTTTTAAATTTCACCACAGCTCTCCAGAGGGGTGTAATGAACAGTCCACTGGGGCTTGGAAGCAAAATATTGCAATTTCTGTGTTTATTTGTTAACCTCATCCCTTTATAATTTCCAGTTTATGTTTTATAAGTAATAAATGCATAGAGTAGTATCTATTTATTCATAAACAATTATACATATACTGAGGTGCATAAGGAAATTCTTTTTAGTGATCATGATGAAAAATTGTAGAGACCACCGAAGTGGATTACAAAGTACCCCAGTGTTCAGAAGTCTCCACAGAAATTTGATGGAGGTTTTGTAATTTTTTTACTTTACTTTCTTACCAGTAATAGGGACCTTTGTTTCTTCCTTATTTCCTTAATCAGGCAACCTACAGTCCGGGAATAGGTTTTTGGATAGTTGTGTTTTTTTTTTTAATGGAAAAGATCCAGTCCTTTCTCAACAGCAAGACAATTTAAACTGATTTTATTTCTCTGTGGTTTTAATACTGCAAAAATTAAGAGAAAACAATGGAAATGAAGCAGGTATGGTAAAAATGCTCACTTCCTCCTATAGTGATGGTCTGTTTAGGACAAAGTCTTATTACTCAGGATGCACGTTTTGAGTAATGTTCGAAAGATGTAGGCTTTTTTGAGTTTTATTCTTGATCCTGTCTTTTCTCACATTTAACCTGTCACTTCCACATCCTTACTCTTTCTCGATTTTGGAGTGCAAAGTCCTTTCTGTCCATGTTGAAAGTTATCATAGCTTGAAAAATACTGCTGTGTTTAAAGGGAAAAACCATGGGTTATGGGACCCAAGGAAGAGGCTGGTTTCTTGACACTTTAAGGAACCATCCACTCCGTGGATAGCAGTGCCTCAGAATAGGGCATGTGTTGGCCACTTAGTTTTTTCACACAATGAACCTTAGAGGTTACCTCTTAAACAGAGTTGCATTTGCTGAAGTAAAGCGTTATCTGCAGAGTTGGAATATCTTAATATTTGCATGGCTATGCAAAACTCACAGGGGAAAAAGGAGACAAACATCTTCTAATTATTTAAAACTTCAGATTAGAAATTGGGGAGGGCCTGGATGCAGCTGACTGAAAATATCCTTTGTTAGCAGGTCCTCCCCGCCAGTTCCCCAACATCCAGGTCCAGGACACACCCTGCTGGAGAGGCTTTCCAACTTCAGGAATTCCAACTGTCTGCCAGAGCGACAGAAAATTTCACGGATAGCCTTAGGGGAAAGAGGGAGAGGCATCAAAGTCCTGCTAATAATATTCCAACATTTTATAATGCACTTCAAATTATAGAGTAGTGGTGCTAGACAAACACTAAGGCTCTTAGAGATCATTCAGCCCTCTTACTTTTAAGAACGAAAACAAACAAACGAAAAAGCAAACCCTGAATCCCAGTGAGGCTAACTAGCTCCTCATTTAAGGACCCAGAGCTAACAATAGGCAGTTAATAAAACACAGCCCGATGCCCCAAGGCCGTTCCTTATTCAGTTGATTAGCTGTTCATGTCTGAGGCGCAGTGTGCTCTGCTCAGGCCAAGGACACAAAATCCACCGGCTGGATTCTGGCTCGAGGTAATTGTTCAAACATATCCTCTCGGTCCTGGAAGGAAATACAGCAGAGGAGTACTTTGGAGGTTACCAATCTCTTTGGAAACCTAATGAAGAAGCCTTGTTAAGAACAGACGTAATTTAGGGGAATGTGAATCTTACCCATAAAGTTCTCCAGGGCCACAGACCCCACGTTGTGGATACTCGCATCACCACTTCTGAGAATCCACTCGAAGCACACACAAACTCTGCATGTCAACAGTGAGGGGCAGTGTTACCTGAGAGAATGGCAGTTGAGATTTCATTTTGCCACATTTTAAGCCAGATAATTACATCCTCTAGTTTTAAATTATAAATAAAGCAGTGGCCTCCACGCTGGTGTGCAAGGAGTCTTTTGAGGTGTGAGAGTAATGTGTTAAATTTCTATTTTGGGCTAGTTTAAAATCTCTACTTTTAGATAATTTCTAGGTTATGTTTTATGATTGTGGATGACGTATTGACACAGTAGTATCTGCATTTATAAGTAAATGATTATACATGTTTTGGGATACACATGCAAACATGTTTTAGTCGGTCACCATTTAAATAGTTGAAGATTGTTAATCTAAATTACCAATTTAGTGCAAACATTTTTGCCTAGTTTTAAGTGGTTTCCAGTGGAATTTGCTTGAGTTTTCACTTCGAATTTCTGACTAGTAATAGAGGACTTCATTAAAACACATCTTTTTTTTTTACTCCCTCTTGCAACCTCTTTCTTAAGAATAGACTTTTTAAAGAAACTGTTTAATCCTTTCTCCATTTCAGATAAAGTTTAAAATGATGACATACACACAAGAGCCTCAGATTAGCATAATAAGCCTCAACCACATCTTTTCTTATGATCTTTGCCCTCAAACAACTAAGGGGAAAGAATTTTGAAGAGAGAGACAGAATCGGATGACTGGGCAACTTCAGCCTCCTCAGAGTCACACTTTCTCTACTGCTTCTACCATTTTGTGAAATTGCAGAATGTGGCACACACCCCTAGTAAGTGAGAATTTTGGCAGGATACACCCCAAGACATTAGGGAATTTACTACTGTAACTATTCATTGGCATGGGAAATTGAAAGCAGGGTCTGGTTTAGTTCCTAAAATATCACGGACACGTCATAACTGTGTTTTAGCAGAGGAAGGAAACCATGTGAGGCACAATGGATAGAAATTGCTGAGGGTAATTTATTTAATACAGTGACATTCAAACTTTGTGACCCTGACCATAGTTAGAAATACATTTTACATAGATTGTATCATTTATTAAATTATATATATGCTCCATGCTGCACTCTTAATATTTTTCAGCCTCGTTGTAAGTTCTGGTCATATCCAGTTATGTTAATTTCACTGGAAGCTGGTGATGGAGTTTGAACAATGCTGACCTAATCCATTTTGTTTCCCCCTTAAGGTGTCTAAATGTTCTGAAGAAATAAAAAACTACATTGAAGAACGTTCTGGAGAGGATCCTCTGGTGAAAGGAATTCCAGAAGACAAGAACCCCTTTAAAGAAAAAGGCAGCTGCATTATTTCATAAATAACTCTGGGGAGAAACCTTATCCTCAGTGGAAGAACTAGCTTGTTTTAGTTTTCCGAAATAAAACCGACATGCTTTTTAAAGAAGGAAAGCTAAATTTAAAGCGGACTTTCTCAAGCACTTATATAGATATGGTTTCATATTGTATAAAATCTATGTGCTTCTCATCTTTGCTCACTATCCATCCTTTTTAAGAGGGCAGAGAGCATCAAATGTACAATAATGGAAATAAGGACATTACTTGTGCATGACTCACCTCTTTCAGTATATTGCTTGATGCCTCAAATAAAGTTTTATCTCTGGAAAATAAGTATTGGCCATTTAAGAAGGCTTTTCTTTGCATTCACTTTTATATTTCTCCTCATAAGTGTTGGGTGTTTGGGACATGGATCAAAAGATGAGGTGTTTGATGTATCGGGTCTGCAATCCAGTTTCTACTTCAGGAGTTTTGCGTCGCTGAGCTCTGACTTCTGGGATGTTTTCCATCTAACATTAACTATTGTGGAACTGAGACAGTAGAAGCCCCAGTGTTGATAGGAGTCAGATGATCCGAGTCAGGAAGGAACCATGCCAGACCACATCTGTATTAGCACTTCCTCAGTTTATCACCACACAGATCTTGTTCAAAGTCTTGCTGCCTCGGTGGCCCTGGGAAAGTGAGGGGGTCAAGATCAGGAGGAGTACCCCTCGGTGCCAGCTCTGTATGTTAACCCATGGGAGCTGCATCTCCCACGTGATTTCCAGGCCTTGGGCACACAGACCCTCCCATGGTGGGGTTCTGGCACTTGGCTCTGCACCCACTCCTGCCAGCCTTTTCCAGTGTGCCTGGGCCAAGCATGTGTCTTTTCTTTCTTTTCCAAAGGGACCAGTTAATCTTTTACCCATTTCTAAAATTAACTTGCTCCTTATTCTCATTGACTTGTAGGAATTATTCATATATTCTGATTATTCATCCTTCATCGTTAATAGGAGTTGCAAATACCTTTGCCCAATCTGTGGCTTAACTGTTGGCAGCGCATCGCAGCTGCAGTGGTTTTATCCAGAGTTCGTGGTCTGCTCTAATCCTTTATGGAGGCACCTGCAGGTTGGACCTCAAAGAAGGGAACCTTTCTTTTTTTCTTTTGGAATTTCCCCCCTCTTTTTCTGATTTTTGGGTGCAAATTGCTCCAAGTTTGAACCAAAAGACAAGCAAAACCCTTGCAAATTAGCTTCAGTTCAAATGGGTTTAGTTACTAACTGGCCCTGCAGTTTTAAATGGGGAACCAGGAGCCCAGGTTTCTCCTTGATTAGGCCGTCTGCCTGCTTAGTGCAAAGGTGTACCTCATCCATCCAGAGAGGGGCCTGTGACTTCTAGCAGCTTCCTGAAGTATATCAGCACCCTCACGCCGAAACCACTTTCCTCTTCCCCTCTCTGCAAAAGAACAGGATACCCTGGCATTTGAAAGAGCAGGTTATAGCAAACCAAGAGCAAGGACTATTTCCTTTAGTTTCCTGCCTTTTACCAAGTGCTGACATCAATTGGAATTACTGAGGGTCCCAGGATAATTTTAGCCCAAAGTATGATCTACTCCAAGGTAAGGTTTAAGGACAGTAGAGGTATGCGCGTTTTCTCCAACAGCTATAGAACAATTAGTATTTGGGATGTGTTGCCAGTATTCGTCATTTAAAAATTAGGTGGCATGGGATTTCCGCACCTTAGTGCTTGTTACGTTTTACTTGAATGAGCTGTTCTACTTCTTTCAGGTCATAAAGTTTCCTTCTGTTGCATGAGAAAACAAACATCAATGCCGGGTCTTGGTAGAGCAGATTAAATCATGTGCTTCCTTCGTGGAGAGCCAAGTCAATACATTCATCCTCTGACATTTGAGAAGTGCGAATTACGAGGCTGTACCCTGAATCACTATTAGCCACATTCAGCTCTCCATTCATACGCACCTCCAAGTCCTAGCCTTTGCTTTTCATGCACTTTCAACCACATGGCAAATTAGCCCCCTTCTGGTTTTTCCTTACTAAACAGCCAGTCTTGTAGATGTTTCTACTAAATCTAATTTTATTCTTTTTCTTACTGTTTCATCATAGTAACTAGGCAAACCTATAGAAGCATAATAAAATCCTTTTGATTTTCTGCTAAAAATGTATTAGATTGCATTAGGAGAAAAGTGAAAAATATGGTAATTATACATTTGGATATATTGTAAAAGTAACCTTTGGTAAGTGGGAATTTAAGTACAATTTAAACCACGTGTTTAGTTTCTTCTTTGTATGCACAGTAGTTGTGTAATTGTTTTGATTGTATTTTTTTCATTACCATTTATGCCCCTTATACCCCGTCCGCCCTTCATTCGCCACACTGTTGTCCATGACCATGAATCCTTCTTCCTTTTTGCTGGATTCCTCCACCCACCAGTCTACTCCCCCATAGCTGTCATCTTGCGTTCACATTAAATTAGCAAAATTTGCTTTACTCTTTCTAGTCAGAATCTATAGTATAAGCTCACCCATACTTGGTGTTTAAGAAAGTTTATTTTGTGTGTTCCATGCAAACTGATATCTCATTATTGTCTAACTTTGCATTTTCTTGCTTTCCTGTGATATTTGCAGTCAGATTTTCATGCATGTTTTGACCACCTTCACCCATTTCACCCACCTCCAACTCCCTGCCTGTAGCAACCACCACTCTGTATCTATGAGTGTGGTTTTCATTTTTCTTTTTGTTTTGATTCCACAAATAAATCACATAGTATTTGTCTTTTTCTGTCTGACTTAATTGGCTTAGCATAATGCCTTCAAAGCCATTCATGTTGTTGCAATGGCAAGATTTCTTCCTTTTGTTATGGCTGAATTTTACACACACACACAACACATGTCACATCTTCTTTTTAAGATTTTATTTATTTATTTTTAGAAAGGGAAGGGAGGGAGAAAGAGAGAGAGAGAAACATCAATGAGCAGTTGCTGGGGGCCATGGCCTGCAACCCAGGCATGTGCCCTGACTGGGAATCGAACCTGCGACACTTTGGTTCACAGCCCACACTCAATCCACTGAGCTATGCCAGCCAGGGCCAACATTTTCTTTATTCCATCTATCAAAGGATGTTTAGGTTGTTTCCATATCTTTATTGTTGTAAATAATGCTGGAGAGGCATTTATCTTTTCAAGTTAGTGTTTTTATTTTCTTCTCATAAATTCTCAGAAGTAGATCTACTGCATCACCTGGCAGTTCTATTTTTAATTTTTTGAGGAAAACTTTGTGCTGTTTTCCATATTACTGCACCAATTTATGTTCCTCCCAATGGTGCACAAAGATTCTACTTTCTCCAAATCATTATCGACACTTGTTTCTTGTCCTTTTAATAATAGTCATAAAAGCCATAATAACATAACTTAATAATGTAATAGCTATAGCAGGTGTGTGGTGATGTCTCATTGTGGTTTTGATTTGCATTTCCCTGATGATTAGTGATATTAAGTACCTTTTTAATATATGCATTTGCATTTCCATCTACTTACATTTGTTTAAGGAAACATTGGAAGGTTATAAAGAAAACTAATAAAAATTGCTACCCATTAAGGCCAATGTTGGGTATAACCAGGTAGTAAAGAATGAGATTGAGATCTCTCATTGTATATTTTTTCTGTAAAGTTTTAATTTTTGGACCATGGAAATATATGATCTGGTTTTAAAACTAAATTAATTTTTAAATAAAAGATATAAGCAAAATTTATATTGCTATTTTTAGGCATTAGAGAGCAAGTATATTTTGGTATTAATGTCCTGTGAATCAGAAATAAGTTTATATAGTCACCACAATTCGACTAGTAGTATATTTTGACCTGTGAGGTTTATCCTACCAAGTAAGACAAAGATGTTGAGTGAGTTATATTTCACTATTATCCCCTCTAACTGAGTCTTAGAAGGATGAGAATCCTGGAGAAATAAGCCCCTGTTTCAAATATATCAGTGTAGAAAGCAGCAGCTACTGGAAGGTGTCTGATGGAATAGAGAGGAGCGGGATGGTGGCAGGAGGAAAGTGCTCCGGGGGCTCTCCCATTAGGATGAGCCCTGATACCCTGCTCTGAGCATGGGCTGTCCTGCAGGGAGACCTTTCGACAACAAAAATACGTGGAGCTTCCCATATGTACAGGCATTTGTGAGTCTGAAAGGATATAGAGGTGGATTAGACAAAGTCCTTAACACCATGGAATTTGTAGAAATTATAATTAATTGGATATTATTTATTAATCAGAAATCATTGAGTATATTATGATAGATAAGTTAGTATAAATAAAAGTATTTTTTGTATTTTTTGATGATGATGATGATGATGATGATGATGATGGTGATAGCTTCTACATATGAAGTGCTTAATATTTGTCTGGCCCTGGAGTAAGCTTTTTATTTAGATTATGTCTTTCAATTCTCACAACACTTTATATATTGGTGAAATAACTTACACAAAGTCACATAGCTGGTATAACTGGCAAAACAGGGACTGCGCCTTACACACTATGCAATACTACCTCTCTTGTAGAAGCCAGTGCACAGGCAGAGTTGAAAGACCTACTAGCTCACCAAATTTCTGAAGGGGCTTTTGGCACAGGTAAAATAGGCAAGTTGCTATAGCTTCAGAAATTTTGAGCCCTGGTGTACAAGAAAGAGCTTTATAGTAGCTTATCTTAATTGTTTTTAATTGTTGCTTGGTTAACTTTCTATAATCATAGCCTGATACAACAATTTTAACTTATACTAGGTGGGTGAAGTTTTCTTTCTTAATAAAAATCTTATCACAACTCTAAATTATTATAACACCAATGAACTTTAATTATATATCACATAGTTTTGCTTATTTGCTAAATAATAGAACCTCTCAGTTCTTTACCAGAATTTCATCTGTTAGAAGCTACACAAATGATGGTAGAATGACTGGAAGAAATAAAGCAGACTCTGTAAGGACTTTCTTGAAAATATCAAAACTATTAAGTGACAGTCAGCCCTAGAGAATTGCCTACAGGTACCAAACAATCTTTTCTAATAAGTGATTAAACTCAGTCTCTGTAGAAACCTAAATGTTTTATCTAACAAGTGTAGCCATAGGCTTTAGCTGTGTCATCTCAGCCTTTTCTTATAGTCAGCCTGAGGCATGTGAAGTTAGTGGCATGCACCCCAGAGCTGGTTTGGGAATTAATGGGGCTGACTATCTAGGCTATGAGGAGAATGCCTTAAGTTCATGAAACATACTCAGGTATTGGCATTGATCAATATTTACCCATTAATACCTTCAAATCCCCTTTGGAAGTAATCAGATTAAG